CCACTTTCAGTGAAGGTATCCCTGTCACAGCACACGCTGCACCATGGCAGAAATCACTTGGCTAATTTGACACCAAGCAAACAAAACCCTGCCAAGCACCCAGCCCTGCCCTGTGTGGCACAGACCCACCGGCTCAGGGAACTTGACAGGGGGTGAGGGTGGGTGAGCTGCCAGGCGCTGCTCCAGGAACACCTCCTTCTCACAGGCATAGCACCACACGCGGAACGTGGTCAGATTCACCGTCAGGTTGTGCTTCTTGGCCTGGAAATTAAAATGAAATAATGGATCTCCTCTGAGARCTGGCTCGAGTTGGAGCACCCAGAACACAGAATCCAACTCTGTCTGTTTAAATGTGGGGGATGGAGAAAAGCTCACCTGTGCATGAAGTGTGCTGTGGTCAGCAAAGGACTCCCCACAACCAACATAAGGACAACCAATCTAGAGATGGGGAAGAGCCAAAGCACAATGGGCACATCAAGTTAGACCCTCTAGAAAGTAGTCTGCAACTCCAGTCCCAGCAGCAACTTCAGAATTATCCTACCAGTTTTCTAAACAGTCCAGAAAGAGATGGAAAATTGGAATTGCTTGATTTAAGAAAACCTGGAGGCAGGTTTGCACCCAGGTAAAGGCTCTGTTCCAAGCCATTGCTCCAACAGGGATCTCATTTAAACAGCCCCAAAACACCTGGGTATTCCAGTGTAAAAATAAACAGCCCCTGCCCACCTGCATGTCCTGTGGCAATCCTTCCCTCCTCACTCCCACCTGCAGCCCCTCCACAGGTGCCAGCAGAGGCAGCACCCAGCCAACAGCCAACACCGGGCATTTTACTGATTCTTAGTGGGAATAGCAAGGGCAAACACCCACAAGGAGTGAACTGTTAGATCTTGTCAGATTRTGGCAGCATTACCCTTTCATCTAGAGAGTTTCCTCCTTGCCATCCACCAAAAAACAGTGGATAGTTCWGCTGTGAACCCTCTCTTTGCTTCCCACTCTTTTTTTCAGTATAAATGCTATTCATGTCCCACCACATCATGCACACAAACAATCCATTTTTACCTGAAGACAAGCCCAGAGGTTTGGTCCCACAGCTCCACAAGACTGGCAAGTTCCCTGTATATTCATAATAAAAGAAACCTTGTTTGCTGTTGGTTTTTAAGTAACCAAGTCCTTGAAGAGTGAGAAACTTCTCTATGGAACTTCAGCTCACAGTATTTCATTCCTTAACACCACACTTCCAATCAAATACACAATTGCAGCTTAGTGACACATTTAAGCAGGATAAAATAGAGAGTGAGAAATAGATCAGGTGGGGTCACAAAGGGTGATTTTATGGGACATKTGGGTACATCAGTGCAGGAAGGAGAGTTTCTCTCTTGAGAAAGGCAGCATTTTCTTCAAAAGGCAAACACACAAATCCATAGACAAAAGGGAAAGGACTGAGAACCACGACCCTGTACCTTGGATTTGAGCAGCAGATCATCCCTGGTCACCTCTCCTATGGAATCCAGGTGAGGACAGATGTCCCTTGCATCCCCCATTTTCACCAACACTCATCTGAGGAGGGTCTCCTAGGACAAGAAAGAATGGTTTCTTTCACCAACGTGTCAGATTTGCTGTCACAATTGTAAGAAAATACATGGGCATGTTTTGCATGCATAGAGGTACATATCCACCTTTAAAATTCAGAGATTGAAACAAATCTAAACGTGGAGCCAGCCCCATGAGCTGGCACAGTCTGGCCCCACTGCTGAGTGGCTGCACTGTGTATCACAGAGAATGAGCAAAGCCACGGGGAAGAGAGGGAAACACACAAATAAAGTTAATAATCCATATCATGGAATGTGCCTTCAGAAATGCAGGGAGGTGCTTGGCACACAGACACAGCTTCAGCTGCAAAGATACAAATCTAATTAGTTCATTTGCATGAAACGCTGATGAAAAGTGAAAGGGGCTGCAGCCCATCACCAGTACTTAGCCTGTGGTGTCTATGAACTTCATGCACCCAACTGTGCTGATCTGAATCTAACATTTAGTGGTTACACTACTTCATCAAACATTAAAAATATGATTAGTTCTAAATGAAGCTGGGCAAGAGGGAAATAGACTTAAATGAACTGTAACAACGATAAGCAGGCTTCATTCTCTRAGGAATTTACCATTTCATGGGTAGATTTTTTAACCGTATGAGTCACATAACTCAAAGTCTATACAAAATACAMCAACACACTGTTCCACCCAGCTCATACATCCAAGCACCACAACAACAGAGGATTTTAAAGCTTATGAACACAATAAACACTTTCATGGTGGTCCTTGGATATGTAAAAGACTTGAAACGTGTCTCAGTAACAAGCAGCTATTAAAAAAAAAGAAAAGGGTTTGTGTTTCCTAAGCATAGTTTAAATAACCTTGCTCATGGATGTTAAAAAATAGAAAAAGATAAGTGATATTAATAGTACAGACAAGGATCCAAAATATTACTGTTGGCTGGAAATGAAGCAGATGTGAAGAGCCCACATCATTGCAACAAAGAAATGGAAAAATCTGATGAACTTGATGTTAATGACTCCAGCAGCAGCATGGCTGCTACACTCTTTTTTTTTCACATTTTGAAGACATTTGAAACAATTCCCAGTGTTATCTGGTCTGAATCACTGACAGTAAAAAAAAAAAAAAAAAAAAAAA